AAGAAAGAAAGAAAGAAAGAAAGAAAGAAAGAAAGAAAGAAAGAAAGTAAGAAAGTAAGAAAGAAAGTAAGAAAGAAAGAAATAAAGAAAGGACACGACAAGAAAAGAAAAGAAAAGAAAAGAAAAGAAGAGAAAAGAAAAGAAAAGAAAAGAAAAAGAGACAAGGCAAGACAAGAAAAGAAAAGACAAGACAAGACAAGAAAAGAAAAGAAAAGAACAGAAATAAAGAAAGAAAGACAGCAGGGCAAGCGCGCGCTCGTGTGCTATGGACGGCGTGGTCACGCTCCAGAAAGGCGCGCGTAGAGCGCGCTCTGCAGAAAGAAGACAGAGAAAGAGAAACTTAAATAGAAAGAGACAGAGAGAGAGAGAGAGAGACAGACAGACAGACAGCAGGGCGAGCCCGCGCGCGCTCGTGTGCTTTGGATGGCGCGCTCTGAAATATGCTCCAGAAAGGCGCGCTCACAGCGCGCTCTGCAGAAAAAAAGACAGAGAAAGAGAAAAGAAAGAGAGAGGGAGAGAGAGAGAGAGAGAGAGAGAAGAAATTGAGAGGCCCATCTCATTGACGAGTGTGCTGTACAGGACGTGGTGTAGATTGAGATGGGACAAACTGCGACCATGGCAGACCAGCATTGGCCAGAAGCTCAGTTGGGAGCGAAGTGTGCCTGGCACACATGTCCTACAAGTTGCCCTCATGAGGCTGCTGAAATGTGAGGTTGGCCGTGCCACTGGAAAGCATGTGGTCTCGCTTCAGGTGGACCTGCAGTGTTTCTATGACAGTGTTGTGCTTGAGCAACTGTTGGAAGCATGGGAGCCTTTGGATTTCCCGCCTGCAGTGATGAACATGGTATACGAAGTGTATACCGGGCCACGGCTGCTCCAGGCCGAACAGGTCACCTCCAAACCTGTGATCTGCTCAAAAGGAATCCTGGCCGGATGCCCTGCAGCACCGTTAGTAGCCAAGTTGATCCTGGCGCCAGTGTTAGGCCCTTTCAAGGAGCAGTTCCACAAAGCCACCATAGATGTGTGGGTGGACGACATCTGACTTCGTTGGGGATAGTGTGAGAGGAGTTTGTCAGGAGGCCCTCCATGGATTTGACGTCTTGCAACAGAGGCTCACGGATGCTGGGCTGACAATGTCCCTGGCCAAGACTGGGTACCTCGCCTCATCGAATGATTGCAAGAAGGAGATCACCCTGCTGAGGAGAGAAGACCAACCCACAGTTCACGAACTCCTGAAAGATTTAGGCTTGGACTCCAGTGGAGGTCGACGGAGGAGGATTGGAACACAGCAAAAGTGGCTTCTCAAGGCTGGAAGGCGAAATGCCAAGCTGTCCCATTTGAAGATCAAGGCCAGACCCATCCGGATTAGAGTTTGGAAGACCTCTGTACACTCTGCGGCATGCTATGGTGTGGAAGCTCAGGGCATTGCACCACAGCGCCTGCAAACGCTTCGAACACAGCTGGCAAGACATGGAGGCCTCCAGAAAGGAGGCAGTGTTGATGTTGTGTACGACCAGAATGAGAAGCTGCAAGATCCACTTGCCACGGTGGTTGAGAGACAACTCAAGGCCATGCACCTGCTTGTCCTCAAATGGCCCCCTGAGCAACTTGGTGAACTCCACACTGCCTGGAGAATTAGCTGGAGAAGATTGAAAGCAGCGGCTTATCCTTGGATGGTGGTCACTGGACCAATGGCAGCACTTCAGGTCTATATGATGGACATGGGTTGGGATGCCAGTTGTCTCAATGATTGGGTGCGTGCTCAAACTGGCTTGCTGCCAACAGCCCAACTCAATTTAGAGTTCCCTTGGCCCTATCTTCAAAGACAGCTGCAGCAAGAACTTGCAAATCAAAGGGCACGCAGGATCCAAGAGTTGGAGCATGCCTTTCCCCTGATGAGAAGGCCTGACTGGAGCATATATCGGAAGGCAATGAAGCAAGCTTCACCAAGTCAGAAAGTGGCAATCAATGCATGGACGCAGGGTTCATTGAGGGCACACTATGGTGGTGAGAGGATGATGTGTCCTATGTGCCAGGTTCCGGTGAGCATGAAACACCTGGTCTGGCAGTGCAACTATCACAAGGATGAGTTGCCGCAGGAGTGGAAGCAGATGATTGCAGCCAATGAGAATACTATGCTCTGGGCCAGGGGGCTCATTGATCAGCCGGCCTTTGATCCATGTGAGGGTGCTGATTCCTGTGAAGTTGATGGCATCTTCAGTCATGGATGGCCTGTGAGGATTGGCCCCCATCAGCGGTTAGCCATTGGTGTGCAGCAAACCAGCAAAGACCCGAGGGTGAGGAGATATGCTGTAGCGGTGGTGGCAATGCAGTGGCAGGTTGATGCATGGCAAGTCAATGGGCAATGCACTGCCATCGCCCCAGGGCACAGCACTGAAGCAAGGGCATGGTTCTTTGGCTGTTGGCTGGTCCTACAAATGGTTTTGGGCAGGCATCAGCTAAACATACCTCACCCAGCAGGTTGGACGGCCATCCAAAAAGGTGCGGCAGGCAGAGTGGCCCCTGATCTGTGGCATAATTTGCCAGAGGATGAGTGGAAGAGGCTGCAGCTGCTTCAAGTGCCGTGGAAGCTGATGAAGAGTCAGGCCACCCATGGGCAGCAGTACCTCCTGGCAAAGCAACTGGCAGTGCAGAGGGCTCATCGAGAACAGCCGAAGTCCCTGGAACAGGAGTTGGTGATTGAGGACCAGCTGCACTTGGAAGTCTACATGACTGCCGCCAAGAGGATCAGCAAAATGCTGCAAGACAAAGAACACTATATGAATGGCAAGTTGGAGCCTGTGCCTGACAGCGGTCCTAAGGAGACCAAACAGAAGCCACCACAAGGTCGATTGGCCCTTCTTCGCCAGCTGACGTTAAGGGAGAGACAACCAGGCACCCATGAGTGGGAGATCTACAAGGCTGGAATCCAGTGCAAGCACTGCAACCGCAAGATAAAAGGCTGTGCGACGCATGCAGAGATTGCCCATCAACAGGACACAGTTTGCAGAGGGTTTGCAGCACGAACCATGGAGCAACAGATGCGGGAGTTGGTGGACAGCTCGGACCTTCTAGCAGAAGGCCACCCTGGACATAGATGGGTTCTGCAAGGCAGCAAATTTGGGTGCAAGCAGTGTTGGGAGAGCATCCCACGGCGTAGCAGCAAGCATCACCTTCAACAGTTGCTTGCAAAGGACTGTGCCACTGGCCCTGTTGATGAAGCTGGCCTCAACTTGAGACTTCGAATCCACACCAGTCATTGTCTTGTGAGAAGAGGCAGATGGGTTGAGTGCCAGCAATGCCTCAGAAGCAGCCGGGTGGTTGATGGCAGGCTGCAGCAGTGGGTCCATCAACACTGCGTCAAAGCAAAGGGCCAGCAAAAACTTCACTTTGGGCCCAGAAGTTCGGAGAGCTAGATGCTTGGAGGTGGTTGCAGATCCCAGGTACAAGGCGAAGAGAGCCTTGCCTGGTGCCACTTTTGGCCTACGGGCTGTGGCGTCGCTAGAGCAGACGCAAAAGAGCCGAGAAAAAAAAAAGAGAGAGAAGAGAAGAAAAGAAAAGAAAAGAAAAGAAAAGAAAAGAAAAAAAAAGAAAAGACAAGACAAGACAAGAAAAGAAGAACGACAGAAATAAAGAAAAAAATGAAAGAAAGAAAAGAAAGACAATACAGAAAAGAAAACAAGAAAGAAAGAAACAAAGAAACACAAGCAAGAAAAGAAAGAACGAAAGAAAAGAAAGAAATAAAGAAAGAAGGACAGACAGAAAGACAGAAAGAGAGAGAGAGAGAGAGAGACAGAAAGAAAGAAAGAAAGAAAGAAAAGACAAGAAAAGAAAAGAAAGAAAAGAAAGAAAGAAAGAAAGAAAGAAAGAAAGAACATAAAGAAAGAAAGAAAAGAAAGAAAGAAATCAAGCAGGGCGAGAGCGCGCGCGCGGACCCGCTCGTGCGCACTCTGAAATACGCTCCAGAATGCAGAGAGAAAGACAGAGAAAGAGAAACTTAAAGAGAAAGAGAAGAGAGAGACAGAGAGAGAGAGAGAGAGAGAGAAAGAGAGCAGGTACTCTGGACGGCGCGATCGGGCGCGTTCTGACATACGCTCCAGAAAGGCGCGCTCAGAGCGCGCTTTGCAGAGAGAAAGACAGAGAAAGAGAAGCTTGAAGAGAAAGACAGAGAGCGAGAGAGAGAGAGAGAGAGCGTGCGCGCGCGCTCGTGTGCTATGGACAGTGCAGGAGGTTGCCTCGGTGCCTGCGGCTGCTGCGGCTGCTGCGGCAGACGCAGGGACCGATGCCTTGGCAAACGCGCAGGCAATGATTGCCAAGGCGTCGTCAATCAGGGCTTCTGGAGTCCTTGCCAGCATTGCAGCCTCGATGTGTACTGCAGACGCGGACGGGAAGGTGCCTGAAGGGACGATGACCAAGCGGTATGCGCTGCTGCATCCAAGGCCCCACCACGCTACGGCGACGGCCATGGGCCCACCAACGCCGCTGGTGTCTGCGCAGGCAAACCCTGAGATCATCAACTTCCTGAGTTCGTCGCGATGCGCTTCAACTCTCGAGCCCCTTCTCAGGAGATGCCCGCTTTTCGCAACTCCAGGGCACTACGACTTCATCGAGTGCAGGTCCATGGGTGGAGAAACTCTGAGTATGGGATTGTGCATGGCACCACATGCATTGTGTGTCTCCGGCAGTTTTGGACTGTAAACCGATTGCAGCTCCATTTCCGGTACGCCTCTCGTCAGGTGCAGCACACTAGGTGAACCTCGAAGTGCAGATTTCGTGGCAGGTGCAGCACTTAGTGAACCTCGAGGTGCAGATTTCGTGGCAGGCACAGCGCATGGTGAACCTCGAAGTGCAGATTTCGTGGCAGGCACAGCGCTGGGTGAACCTCGAAGTGCAGATTTCGTGGCCGGTGCCGTACTTTGTGCTCTCAGATGCTCACTCTCTCTCACACTCTCCCATTCTCACTCTCCCACTTTCACTCACACTCGCACTCCCTCACACTCCCACTCTCACGCACACTTACTCTCACCCACACTCGCTCTCACTCACACCCGCACCTCGCGCTCAACCACACTCACTCTCCCCCTCTCACTCGCACTCACTCTCACTCTCACCCACAC